GCGCGTCGGAATCAAACTGCATCTCCTAAGGCACTCCTAGCTGGGTCAGAACCACGCGGATAATACACTGATCCATTACAGAGACTTTACCCTCCACCCCCAACTCATTCCAAGAACAAAAAGAGACTAAGCAGAAGGAGAAGCTTAGAGAAATACATTTTGTGTCCTGGACAGAATTGTTTTTTCACTCCTGATCAGTTTCTGGACCTACCTCAGCATTGCATTCCAGAGACCAAACGCTGGGTGCTTGCTTGTTCTGCTTTGAATTGTCTTTTCAGGGACCACTGGCAGTAGTTACACTACTCAATACCTCAAACTATTTACATGTCCATTGTGACAAACTGATGTTTTGAATTATACATTCAATATAGAAAGTAAAACTTCAGCCCTTTTAGTACTACTAGAAAAATTTGGGTCCATATTTCAATACTGCATAAGCTGGGGGAAATCATATTATTCAGTCTCTCGGCTGTTGTATCTACATTTCTTCTCTCAGTAAAAACTCAGATCAATGCAGCTAAATACTCAGATTTAAAAATACCAAGCATTTCAAACCAACAAGCGCACCTTTCAGATTCCAAATGTATTCAAATGAGCAGTGGTTGTTAGGAGGAGATGACATACCACAACCTCAGCCTTTTGGGGAACGTGGTACAAGTCAGTGCTTTGTCTCCTTTGGTAGAGACAAACGAGGTGTCTCCCTGGCCGTGTTAGCCGAGTAATAGCATTTTCATTCTTTCCAGGGTGCAGAATCACCTGCCCGAGGCAATCTGGGCTGGCAAACAGAACAAGCTCTCATCCAGAAATATGATATAATATGCCAGGGCTTTGAGCTCTTTTATATAACAATAAAGAACTCATTGCAGTGGCAGAACTTAAAGCTAAAGTAACCCTTGCTAACATACAAATTAGAAGGGTTTTATTGAGCCACTGATTCCTCTTCCAGGCATTTTTTCATATCACCTCTTTCATAAGCCCCAGGAATTTTGACCAGCTGTTTCTCCCTGGCCCATGCTCATTACTTGTTAATGATACTGTATTTTCAAATGGCTTCTCCATTAGTCTAGACAGTTTAAAGTATAGGAAGGTTTTCAAAAACTAGAGGCAAGACATATTAAATTATTTTGGAAACAACTCTGTACATCTTCAGATATTCTTGAGATAGCAAAGGATTGCTCTAAAACTACACTGGATGGTGGGATAGTTGTAGGAGATGAATCAGCTCTAACAAGCATTGAGAGGGTCAGACCTTGAAAAATAAATGTGTGTGTAGTACTGGGACTAATCAGAAATCCAGCAGCCACAAGTAGAAATGGGAATGAAAGTTAAAGATCAGCGCAGCCAAGCCCCACATGAAATCCCTGTTCTAGAATAACCCAAGTTGTGTTTAACTTTCACAGATATGCTGGTTCCAGAGGAACTACAAGCTCATCTTATTCACGATGAGGACAGACTCATACCTAGAATGGATTGATGGTATTTGCACTTTAAACAAGCAGCTTAAGATTGGGTAATTTACAGATCAGTTATCCGAGCCTGAAGATACCTTATATACTTGTGGGTAGGGGAAAAAAATGAATCATTCTATCTTTTTGTCTATTTTATCAACTTCTACACTCCAGAGTTTATTACTGTGTCTCTCAAATATGTTATGTCTATGTAATAGCAACTTGACTTATCTCTGAGCAGATTTGACAACTTGGAAAACAACATAATCCTTTTTGGGTGACAACTGTAGTATTTAGAAACCTATCCAAGCCAAAATGCTTTTTTTTTTTTTTTGTCTCCCCCAATTTATAATCGGTCCCGCAAGATGCCGCCAATGCCCACTCACCCCAAAGTGGTATTGCCCAATATTGTTTGCTTTGAACATTCAGGGGACAGAGCAAATATTTTAAACAACAGCAAATACAATTGTCATTTATTTTTAGCAGTATCATCAGGGTCAAATCAGTTCAAAAGTTAAAATACTTGCATTGTGAAACAAGACCACTGCAGATGAGAACTGAAGAATTTTGACAAACAGTTGCAGTTGGCCTCAAGTGCCTTTTAGAAAGCTTAACTTAACAGGGTTGAAAAAAATCTGTCACGGGCCTTAAGCAGTACACCAATACTGATTTGTTAAATCTGTGCTAGGAGTGTTGCACCTTCACGTATGTTTGGTAAGAGCAAGCAAAGCCCACAAGAAAAAAAACCACCAAGGAAAACATCATCCCCTTTACAGCTTATCTCTAATTGCACTGGGTACCAATCAACTAGTTTCTCTGTGCAAGAACTAATAGTAGAAGTGCGATAGGAGGAACACTGTCTTATCACAGACGCAAGTTAACATTTATTATTGCCATATCCAAAGTCCAGATTCCGTCCTGCACACTTTGCAAACTCAGCAAACCAGACCTGAGTGCATGCGTGCCAGCTGGCCTCTGACCTCCTACGCGCTGGGCTTGTTTCAGTGCACGTCTTTTCCCCTTTGCAGGCACTGCAAGGATCAGGATGTTGCTGGCCTTTGATCTAATACAGAGGAAATAGCAACTCCCTGAACGGGTGTCAGAACAATCCCCTGTTCTGCAGCACTGCCCAGGCATCAAAAGTGTCTGTTCCTCCATCAAGAGTGCCTTACTGCAGACAAAGCGATGGTTCTGAAGTTGTATTTTGGTCTGAGGGTTGCTGCTTCTGTTTCAAATTTCAAGGCTATATACTTTAACGGTTGTCCATTTTTATCACTTTATTAGTTTAATAAAAGCAATTACCTCTATCTACAAATCTGGTTTAGATGTCCTTAAACCACCATTGCCCTAGCAACACCACTGCCAAAGTGTTATTACGCAGCCCAGGAATCTCATACTCCATATCAGCAAGCACTATGCTGTCTGTAAGTTAGCAACACTTTCAGACAGCCCAACATCCTGCGCATTTGCAGACATTCATCCTGCTGCTAAACCACCAGTCATGTGTCGTCCCCCTCCCCGCCCCCCCCGCAGTTCAATCTTTTTCAACACTCTCCCTGCAGTACCAGTACCCACAGTTACTGGCTGCGCAGCCAACTTCTGCGTTGCTGCTTCTCACCAGACGCTGTGCACAGACATCCGTACCCTTGTTTCTGCCTTAGTGCTTTTTGTACAGTCTCTTACTTCCACAACTTGAATTTTTTCAGCTTGCTCTTGAGAGGCACCCTTGATTGCCAAAGGGTAGATTCACTGCCAGAGGGTAGATTCATTGCCAGAGGGCAAGCTAAATAACACTAAGACCACTGATGACACTTTCCTAAGGCAAGTGAAGCTGCAAGCAGGAAGATGATGTTACTACTGTAAAAATAAAGTACCCAAATAATGACATCCAATGTAGAGTTCTCAGTCACTTGTACAGACTGGCAAACAGCATTATTTCTAATTACATGGCAACATATAAAAGCCTGGCCAAGCCCTCTCTGAGATAAGCAACTTTCTCCTAGTGCCAGACAGGCACAAGAAAGAAGAGCAGCACTGTAACAGTTAAGTCTCTCAGGGAAAATAAAGCCGAACAAGGACTAGGATATAGAACTTGTTACTTCCAGTCCAGTCTTTCAACAGAATCCAACTCCACTGCTTTAGCAACTAAAAATTCTGAACACACCTGTTTTGACAGAAAGCACGTTAGCAAAGCATGGCACACTCACAGCACATCAGCTTCCAGCAAACAAGAGCAGAAGTGGAAGCATTTGCCAGTGTAAGTTACATTCTGCTACAAGTTGGCAGAATCCTCCAAGAATAACCAGCTTCACAAAACACAGCTGTGAAGATGGAGCTGGCTGTGGAATTTAGGGCTGGCAAAGAGCTAAAATCATCTCTTATGCTGAACATCTGCTCTTACTCCTCCTTTGCAAGGTGAATGCAATTAACACAATCTTAAATAACTAACAGAAGATACAAGAGGAGGTAAAATCCCCAAATATTTATATTACTTACCCAGAAAAACAGGGAAGAATGAGAATAAACAACCTTTTTCCTTATGAGAACAGGAAACAAACCCTTTTGTTGTCCTAACACATTTTAAATAGTGAACAACTAGCTCCAAGAGCATTCCTCGTTAAAAGTAGCAAAGGCAAATTTAAAATTCTTGAAAGCACGCAAGGCAAAAGTCACTTCCATATCTTACCAGTGGCATAAGAAAATACACACAAAGCCTGTGTAACTTGGTACAGAACTATGTATTTGCCTAGACAGATATGTAATTATAGGTTTCATCATGCATTTCTATAAATCAATTGCTTATCTGAGGACAGTTTGATGTGAAGTCCTCACCTCTTCACATGCTAACCAGTACAGCAAGAATTAGAATGCCTTATTCCTGTTTAAGGCTGTGACTTCATTCTCATATGCTCTATGCTGGAATAGTTCAGTGTCACATTTTAAAAGCAAAGCCTCCCCTTCCAGCATCAGGAACTCCAACAGACAGCACCAGGAGACCAAACCGGCCCCTCACTGCAGCCTCAGTACACAGCACCGCCAGTACTCTGTATTTACAGCACTACAGTATCAAGGGCATCAACACCATTGTCCGCAGAATCTTTTCTTTCACAGGAAAGGTTTTGCACTCAGCTGCTGAGTATTCGCCTTCTCTTCAGAACCCTAACCTTGGTGGGGAATAACATCTCCAAGAACTGTTTTATGAAAGACAATTGTTGAATAAGCCCCTGAAAGCCTCAGGCAACAAATATCAAGCACCTCGTTCTTAGTACACACAGCAGTAGACCTAGCCTCCTCACAATCTTTGTGGTGGTCCAACTTTTGTGGGTTGCCATTTATCTACATGAGAAAGGAGGCAAAGCAGTATCAGACAGCCATCACTTGGTTTGGGCGCAAGTCCTCATTGCAGGAAACACAGATTACCGAGCCCCCTCTAGTGGCACAGCTGCTGGAGGGGTTGGCTTGTGCCTTGCAGAGGAGTGTTTGACAGCTGCAACACAGCAATTAAGGAATGAGCTCAGAATAATCTCTAAGGGATGACCACTACAACAGCTGAAGTACCAAATGCACTTTAATGAGTTCCAGATTTTGTTCCCAGAAGGAATTTATAAGGTGTCAGTACATTAGGCAGGTACGCAACTTCCCCTGAACTACAGGCATGAGGAGAACTGACTACAATATACTCAGTATTTAAAATTATTTTCAGAAACCAGTCTTCCCCACAGTATTAGAAATAAGGCATGTTTCAGGTGTGCAAGTGGCTGCTATATCCAGTCCTCAGATGCCATATTTGCCCTTTAGTTCTTCCACTTTTGCTATGTAAGCTTTCATTGCGTCTTCTTTGGACACTCCTGAAAGACAGAACACAGGAGCAGTCAGATACCTTTTACAGATTAAGATACCTTTTACATGCAAGTCACAATTCCTTGCTATAGCATGTAGCAGCATGCTACCAAAGAGCAAAGAAGCTAAGGCCACTTGGCTGCGACTCTAGCATTAAAGTTTCAAACAAACAAGTTCAGCAGTCATGAGAAAACAGTGTTTCAAAGTAGAGTTACATTTGTATAGACAGCAACTAAGCAGTGTATTAGTTTATTAAGGTCATTCACAGTTGTTACAGGACAGCCATTCAATCCACTTAGATTGCCTTTAGATGTAGCGCTGGCTCCTTAAAACACCAGAAAAATCCCATTTTCCTTAGATTAGACCACTTGTTTGGCTCCTCATTTAGAGCAGAGAGCCCAGCTGCATCTTCCAGTTAGGAAAGCTTTAATAGAAGCACAACAACTGGAGGGAGAGCTCAGTCTCTGGGGCACCAGGCAGGACCTGGAAAACAGAGATCTAGGTTTCTGCTGCTGCTACAGTTCTCCTTTGTGCAACATCTTGGGCTCGTTGGGCACTTGGCACCTTAATTCCCTTTCACACAGGCTACATTTTTCAGGATTACTTCTGCCTTGCAGAGGTAATCAAAAGTAAGAGTTTACTATTGTGGCATTCCTAACTTCTAGAACTCTTGTCTTATAAGGCAACACAATTTTATTTCTTGCTGAACCACATACACTTTCTGACCAGTTTGCCTGTAGTTTTATTTATTAATTTTTAGCTTTTAAGCAGATACTTACCTTTCAATGCATTCCAGGCATCCCACTTTGCTTTGCCTTTGAAGTCCAGCATACCAGGGCGGTCTGAGAGAGACAGGATAAGCAGCAGAATTAGTTTGTATGGTCTGGGTGTAGGTAATATCTACTCCTTTCCTGAAGGCTATTTAGCTCTTAACTATGATAAAATACAATGGTTCATCTTTGCAGCTATTACTTACTAACCTGTAGTCAGGAAACCACCTCAAGGGAGCCTGTTGGATCACTACTGGTGGCAAAAGAGATATTCTCTGTCAAGTTCCCTTAAGACAGCAGCATTTGAGCAGAAGAGCACCAAATAGCATGATTTGATTTCATCATACTTTCTGAAGAGACTGCTGCCACATGACAGCTATCCGATTAAAGAACGTCAGCTCTACAGTAAAGCAGAAATGCCCTAAGGTCCATTACACACCAGTACATGAAAACAAGCGAGTAGCACACAGCCTAGAACTCATTACCATCAAGTTAATAGTGTGTTTCTAACATAGCTCTTTATTTGTTCTGTCATCTCGGGGTATAAGCTCTGAATTCTAATTCACTTCATTGCAGGCTATGCCATGGTCAAATAGAAGAAATGAATGAGATATGGATGTGCATATGGTTATTCTTCACATAAAGTACTCTCTGCGGTTTCACTTCCTCTCTGTCTCCCTAAAGACAGTTCTTGGGATTAACAAATGGAACTGGACAGTAGCCTGTACATTAGCCACCCTTGTGTCACTCACATGGCAATGTGACCTGCAGAGCTAGTTGGCAGCTCCACTCCAACAAAACCCTATATTAGCTCACCCTTAAACGGATTGCTTTTCTAGCCAATTCCCGTTAGCTCAGCTTCACAAGAATGCAGCAACATGCAGAAATGTTGGTGTATTAACAGTTTTATAGCATCATTTCACCTTGGTAAACATTAATAATGCTAAGGTCCAGTGACACCAAAAGGATCATATCTTAAAAGTCAGTTCTTTTCTCCCTCCATGCTGCTCATCTTGGGAAAAAGAGATTGCAAGTGCCCATACTTACCACTTCCTGTACACTTCACTGCCAGCTTCGAATTCAAGCAACACCCAATAAACTTCACCAGCAACTGGGTCAGGAGGCCAGTGCTGCAAACAAATGACCTTTTTCCTTTCTAATTATAGTTACTGAAGTGTTTCACAAGGTCAATAGAGACAGGCTTCATTCTAAACGTTATTCCTGAACTGCCAGTGACAGAAGTAGCAGGAAAGATTTTGCACAGCCTACCTGCAGAGATATTTCTGCTACAGCCCTTTCAAGATACGATATTTAATTGCAGCTTCTGTAAGAGTTTCTCCTATTACACACATCTATGTCATTTTCTTCTATTTTTGCTTTCCAATTATATTTTTAGTAGCCAATCCAATTTAAACAAACTACACCCCTTCAAATAGTGCAATTCCACACTTGTATAGTTTGCCTTATCTGTTTAACTGAGAAGTGCTTATATTGAAGCAGTATCCCTTGACCTAGGCACCTACTTACTGACAGAAGTCTCCAAAAATCCCAAACCCAATATTTGCACAAAGCTAACAAAAAGGATTCTCAGACCGTTGCTATACGATTTAGATGACTGCAACTGGGTTAATCTAAAAACCACAAGTTGCACAAACCCTTATCGGGTCAGCTTATGCCTGCTTGCCTGCAAATCCATGCCAAGTCGGTACTGAGTCATTTACGCTAAACCGCGGGATTGCACGAAGCGAAGCAGACAAAAGGGGAGAGGTTTTGCTTCCCAAAGCGCCTCCAGCTCAGCCTCAGGCCGCAG